AGAAAAGTGGTGAGTACTCAAATTAGCAAATTTTATTATGAATTAAAATGGAAACAAAAATTCAAAACGCTTTTTCTCAGAAAGTGACATTAAATTTTTAAAAAAAAACGTTTTTTATAAAATTAATTTTTACACAAAATATAAAAATCAAAAGATGGTAACTTTACGAAAAGAACAGTTACAGTAAGATTAGTGGCGGCAGACTGCAAAAAACCCTCAATTGAAGTAGCTTTTGGAGCTTTTGGAAATCTTACAGTTTCTGTTTCAACCAAAATTTTATGTTTTTTTGTGGTATATATAATTCTTGTAAAACTTTTTAACTCTTCTACTCCAGTAACGGAAAATTAGTTAAAATCTATCTACTTCTGGACAATTTCATATAGTTTTTTCAAAAGAAATTACTGTTATGACTATTTTTTTGGTCTGTATCGCTCTGCTTGCTTATTGTACTCTTCTAACTCATATACATCACACTCAGTACTTTTTTTTGCCTGCAAGTATTGTTTTACTAGTTTTCCTTTTAACGCTTCCTAGTACAATGCAATGAAATTTTTTATATGTTTGTTTGACTGTTGAACGTACTCGAGAACGCAGTGCTGGAATTGCTCCTTGCCTTTCATATTCTTGTGATAGTAACGAAAGCATTGCGAGTATCGTTTTTCTTCTACTGTAGCTGTACTGCATTAATTTGAGAATTGGAGGCATACTGAGAAGACCAGCAACGATGGCCGGCATGAAAGAGGAACTTTCAGTTTAAATCCTAACTCAGAATAACCTTTACAAATACGCTCCGAACTAATGAGTGGAAATACTAGTGATTCCAATACTTCCACAGAAATATGAAAGACAAGGAGCAATTCCAGCACTGCGTTTTCGAGTCCGTTCAACAGTCAAACAAACAAAAAAAATCTTTATTGTATTATACTGAAAAGCGTTAAGGGGAAAACTAGCAAAACAATACTCACAGTCAAAAAAAAGCACTGAGTGTGACATATATGGGTTAGAAGGATTCAATAAGCAAGCAGAGCGACACAGACCGAAAATATAATCATAACAGTGATTTTTTCTTTAAAAAACTTTGTGAAATTGTTTAGAAGTAGATAGATTTTAGCTAGTTTTTCGTTACTGTAGTAGTAGAGTTGAAAAGTTTTACAAGAATTATATATACC